ACGAAAATTTATTAAACTCACAAATAGAAGAATGCTTTCTTTCTTTCTTGGGGTAGCAAATTCTCCCTCCTTCACTTGAGTTTCGAGGCTTTTGCCTAATTCTGTAGCTGCACTGCACATGCATCAACATGGTTAGTCTCTAGATAACAAGTAGTACGCATGTACAACACACAAATAGTCTGGGTCATACACAACCTGGTCATTACCTGAAGCTCCATGTACAGTACTGAAATCTGATTCGTATTCTGCAGTAGTAGTATTTTCTACAGCCATAACAGTTTCTACAGCCATAACAGGAAACTGAGATGGGCCTCCAACCGGCTAGATGCAGAGGCATACTCAGGATCAGTACTTGAACTATGGACCACTGCTGATGCATATTGGACATCCATAACAGCAGGAGCCGCCAAAAGCAGTTGCGGCGTATCACGTGACAAAGATTTTTCCATCCTGCCGAAAGGGCGTTCGGAACCAGAGATGCATCCCGCATGGCCGTAGCGGAGATCGTCAGGGCAGATGAACTCTGTCGTCGCGATTGTCCGTCCAGATGCATGCCGTCCCGGCTGTGCCTGCCAATGGGATGCATGTTGCGGCCGTGATTAGGGATTGGGAGGAAGACGAGCGGGGATTAGCTTGGCCGAGGGGTTATTAGCAAATAAGCAGGTTTAACTAAGAGCTGCTGCGGGCGTGTATTTGCAATTTCCTTTCGATTTTGATTGCGTGCGTGGGATGGCGATCGGCCGGTCGAGGAGACAACGGATACAGGGATTCACGGACCATCCCGGATGCATAAGATACGACGCCTTATTATTATGCTGGAACTTCGACTCACATATGTAGGCGTGCATGGGCGCATGTGTGTTGGCATCCTCAAGTGGCATGGTCCATAACCTAGCTTGTTTTTGTTCAGGTAATTAGAGAAAGGCTGGAGGCTCCAAAGGCAAATAGCTCTATCCGCAAGGAGATGCCATCAGAATGGTCCAAGGAACCCTTCTTCAGTTTCGCCGTGCAGAACTTGCCTCCAAACATGGACAACTCTTTGTTGCACCGCTTCTTTACCAAGCATGGTGAAGTTTCCACTGCCGAGGTGACCTCACCTAGGATGGGACGTGCTACCATAGCAATGGTGGCGGTGGACAGGCCGGATGAGGCCGAGGCCATCCTCAATGGGTTGGTACTAGATGGCCATACCCTCACAGTGAGTGGTTGTACCACAAATTCAGCGTTGTCGGTGTCCAAGTTGCCAATGACATGGTGAACTTTGTGATTGGTTGAAATGTTCCCACCTTGAAAATAGTACATAATCTATAGAGGTTTTTAGAAACCTTTCACTGTTTAATTTTTCAATTTGTACTGTGGAGGTTTTTACCCCCACATGGGTTGCATGGTATATGGATAGTACCTACCTCCCCCGCCATAGATATAGTTTCGGTGTCATACGACTTCAATGTTGCCAGCGGGTTATCGGTCTGAACAAGACTCGTTCAGAAACTTCCACTTGCAGCGCGCTCTGCCTTGTCTGTCCCTGATTAGGAACTTATGATACTATTGATATGTTGCTTGACATGTGTAAAGGCTGTGACGGAAACGTTTGGTGCAGATCCAATAATCAGCAGTCGGTTAGACACGCCTGCTAATTAATCTCCGTATGCCATATATTTTTGGTGCTTCTTCAAATTGACACCCACTAGACACTACCACCTCTTAAGTTCCATCCATCAATTTACAAGACGAAACAATTAATTTATGCAGGACAAGTGCTGATGAAGATCAAACGGCCCTTGTCATTTTCAGCTTTGCATAACATCAGGTGTAAGAGCATCTCCAACAGGCGCATAAAAGTTTCGCGTGCTAAAATAGTTTTAGCACGCCACTGTAGCACTTTTAGTGCGCCGGGCCCAATGTTGGTTTAACAGATGCCAAAAAACGCACGCTTAAAAAAACACGCAGTGCAAATTATGAAGCGTGTGTAATCCGGCGCCCCAAATTTGCAGCTTCTGATAGCGTTTTTTAGCGCGTGGCCAATCTTTTTTTTGCACGTGCACTATTTTACAGCTTTTGCTGGAGCTGTCCGGCGCCCGAAAAACTCAAATTTTAGCGCGCGGAGCAGTTTTTGTGTGCCCGTTGGAGATGCTCTAAGTGAGAGTGACGGTAAGACTGTAAGAGTATGTCACAGCCAGTTACTCAAAGAAGAAGAAAAAGTATATCACAGCCGGTGGACATATCTAGGAGTACCTACTAACCAACTCGCTATTCATTCGATGCTCAGCTCGCAGCAAAGTATCCACTAGGTTCCATCCATGTCACCTCTGATAAGTGGCTACTTGTTAGATTTCTACGATTTGGAAATGTTGTCTGTGTAGTATTTCAGTTAGGCGATGCTCTCTCTGATATCATCCATGTGAGATTTTCTTTTTTCGAAAAATTGACAGGAGCTTTGTCATTTCTATTAGAACGCGGAATGCTAGAATATTTAGGCATGAATACAGCACGGCTGTCACAACAATCTACAGAGTCAGGGAGTTTCTATTTATCGATCCATTCCGACCACAGCCAGCGCAACCTAAGGGTTGAGCTGAAGCAGGCGACGTCCTTGATCCCGAGACCGCCCAACTCCTTGGGACGGCCCTGTGAGATTTTAATTTCCTAGGAGTTTGTTTCCTTTCTACGGAAAGATCTCAAAGTTAAAACTCATAGTACTCAAGAATGCAAACATGTTAGGCAAAGGAGTCAGCAATGACCTTGCTGAACAATAGCACTACAATTGTTTGCTCCAAGCTCAGTAGTTGGGTGCCATATATGCATTTTTCTAATTCCGTATTTCTGTGTAAACTACTAAGCTCTAAACGGACAACTATGCTTGGCCATGTGCACGGCATACAAAGACTTGTCATTTTCTAATCATCTGAACTAACATGATTAACCCACCTACTGCTTAATCATTGCCATTTTCTAATCGTCAGAATTTATATTTATCGGGTTGTGTCTTGCCGTGTCCTACTCTGCAAGCTCGTCCCCAGAGCCACCTGATTATACTTGTCACCCCGCCATCGTACCGATGATCACATCTTCCCCGCAGTTGGCGTAGCATCATCAGGTGCGACCTTGATCTCGCGTTCTTGTTGGAGTTTGCCTCACCTAATTTTATGCTGGCGAGCGCCTAGAGGTACTCCCTCCCTCGCGTCGCCCCCGCCCTGGGCGACTCGGGGGCCTCCAACCCTAGGCACCGCCGCCGCCCTCTCCTTCTCCCCTCCTCGCGCCGCCGTCGGGTGAAACCCGCATGGCAGACGGCGGCGGCGGGGGGACTCCCTCTCCCGCCTCCCCTTCTTCCGCGGGCGGCGGATCCAGGCGGCAGGCGGCGGTGGCCTACGGCAGGCCTCGGCGAGCCGTGGCGGGGCGCGGGGCACGCGGCGGCGAGCCTCGGTAGGCGGTGGCGGCTGCGCGCGGGGCTGACTCCGGGGCGGCGGCGCGGGCTTGGATCCATCGCAGGTCTGACCTGTGGGCGCGGCCTCGGCCTCCCCTGCTCGGCCGGCGGGTCTCGGTGGGGGGGCTGCTCCGTGCTGAGATCTGGCAAGCGGGATCATCTAGATCCCGGCAAGGACGGCGGCGACCCATGCACGAGAGATGGAGGTCTTCGATCAGATCTGGGTGAAAACCTGCTATTGGCTATTGCCAAGGCCGGTGATGGCGACGCTGTCTGCGCCGTTCCCTTCCTGAAGGCATCGTCGTGGAGATGTTCAAGGCCACTCTCTGCTATCTCTGGGGGAAACCCTAGATCAGTAGATCGGATGACGGCGGCTCTCTGGTGTCGTGTTCCCCCATGGGGGCGTCATTCTTGGAGGTGCACACGGGCTCGAGGGACTAGAGGACGGCGACTTTGGTGGAGCGGTGCTTCATCTTTCCCATTGAAGGTGGCGGATCTCGGCGGCGTGGTGCTGTTGAGACTCGGCGTCTGATGCGCGGAGATGGACTCGCGCAGGAGGAGGTTGCTGTCTGGTGTCATGGTGACGTCGATGGCTGAGTGGCCAGACAAGGTAGAAGCCTCAATATGACCTGAAGACGGACCTGTGGAAGATGGCGGCGACGACACACGAGTGTGTCTGACCGGATTGTGTCCCAGGCCCGGTATGTGGCTCGGCTGGGGCTTCCGAATATGTTTCGGCTTCCGGCTTTTGATGTTAGGCTTAGGTGAGTGGTTTGGGTAGTGGCCCAGCTAGCACCCCTTCATCATTTTGGATAGGAGTAGCGGCATGTGTTGTCAAGATGGTGGATTCAGGCACATTGTTGTAATACTTTGTAAGGTCCTCAAGAATAATCAATAAAGTGGTCGTATGCATCTCCCAGATGCATAGGCCGGGGATCATCCTCCTTTTCTAAAAAAAACCTAATTTATGCTGGCTGGGCATAAAAAAAAGATACCGGTGCCTGAAGTTTCATCAGGACTTTGTTAAACACTACCCAGCTATTCTCAGTCTGTCAAGGATGCACAAGACCACAGTACTTGTGTCTGCGAACAACTTTCGACGTGATGGATCCCGTATTCGCAAGGAACCAGTCAAATGATCATGCGGTGTGTGTGAGAAAGACACAAGAGAATCTCCATGGTAAGCGAATTGAGCATATACGTACGTACTCTGGTTGGAGCCTAGCTTCTAAAAAAAAAATGAAACTCCATGGGCACTAGCACCCACGGTTTTATTGATATAGAAGAAGCATCCCTCATGAGAATTCCAGAAATTCGTCCCCGACGTGGATCGAACTCTGGTCGTTAGGTTTACAATCATGCGCCCCCAACCACTGGGCTGTTGGAGCCTAGCTTCTGGCTTTGAAGAATGCCGGGACATGGTTAACTTGGAAACTTTCCTACCTTGCACTTGACCGTGGTAATGCATGATTAGTTTGTGACAGGGATGGGGCGTGAGTGGGTTGTTGGATGTTTACTCCTGAATGTTGACTTAGCCAAATCTATTTTGGAACGGAGGGAGTAGCATTCAAATTTCATGCCGGCACAGCTTAGCGAGTCATTGACGATTTCTGAGAGCCCAAAACCGCTCACCTTTGTGACCATCTTGTTCCTCATCCCCAGCGACCCCGCCATCTTCCGGGCGATCTCATCCTCTCCATCAGCGGTGCAGTTTCATCAGGTGCGGCCTTGACCTTGTGTTCTTGTTTCTACTCTTCTGCAGAGCTGTCCTGAACATCTGGATCAGCACCTTTTTCTCTTTTTTTTTTGGATCCTTTTTGTATTTCAAAGCAGTGAAGAAGTCAAGAGCTCATCTTTACAATACCCCACATCAGCTTCTTGCTGGCTTATCATTAAGCCCGGAACTAATTAACTGCTGCTGTTGCTTCTTAATTTCAGCTTTGTACCTACCTAGTCGAGCAGTCGAGCACCATGCATCATGCGACTCTCTTCCTCTTCATACTTGTAGCTGCAGCGCCCTTTCTCTCCGCGGTGAAGACCTTGAACTATCCAAATACAACAACCAAACTCTCGACAGTGTGGATCAACAACGCAACTGACGGTGCACTCGACATGCGCCCCATTCTCATCAGTTCACAACAAGATCCCTCGCGCAGTGGAAGCGCCTTTGCCGCAGGATTCTTATGTGTCTCCACCCCTACATGCAACATGTCCCTTTTTGGCGTCTTCATTGTCACTAAAGAATATGGCTCATGGACCAGCAGCACCTATCCTGCGGCGGCGGTTTGGTCGGCCAACCGAGCTCGCCCTGTCGGGATGAATGCCACCCTTGAGCTTACCTCCAACGGAAACTTGGTCCTCATGGATGCTGATGGTAGCCACATCTGGTCAAGCAACAGCTCGGGCCGGTCTGTGACCGGCATGGTGATCAATGAGTTCGGCAATCTGGCGTTAGTTGATCAGAGTAGTGCAACAGTGTGGCAGTCATTTGATCATCCTACCGACACATTGGTCCATGGGCAGTCACTTGTGGAAGGTATGAAGCTCACAGCAAGTACCTCTGTAACAAATACGACCGAGAATCGGCTCTATATCACCGTACTCCCACATGGACTATATGCTTATGTTGAAGCTACACCACCACAACTCTATTTTTCATTCTATTACTCGGTGGCCGATCACAGGAGACAAAATGATTTAACGAGGGTTACATTCATGAACAGAAGCCTCACAATCTTTGTGCGATCAGATAGGTACGGTGGTATCTCATTGCCAGCAACCAAATCCAACCAATACATGAGACTAGAGTCAGATGGACACTTGAGGTTGTACGACTGGGCTAATGGATCAATTTTGTATGAAGTAATGCAGATAAATGATTGTGATTACCCAACAGTTTGTGGGGAGTACGGCATATGTATCGACAGCCAATGTGTTTGCCCATATGAGAACTCTTTCTTCAAGCCGGTGGACGAACGACAACCCAATCTTGGTTGCACACCATTAACTCCAATCTCTTGTCAAGAAAAACAACGGCATCGGCTATTGACCCTTTCCTCCATTTATTACTTTGATAAGAACTACACAGTAGTGAATGCCAAAAGCCTCGCTCAGTGTAAGAAAGCCTGCTTGAAGAACTGCTCTTGCAGGGCCGTTATCTTCAGTTATTACCACAACGATTCATATGGAGAATGTATGTGGGTGACAAAGGTCTTCTCGTTGCAATCAATGCAGCCTGGTGATGATGATGTCTACAGCTCCACTGCTTACCTCAAGGTGCAGATTGATGAAAACAAAAATAATGTGATGTTAGGTGCTACACTTGGAGGTATTAGTGCTCTTCTACTGCTTGCCATTGTTGTCGGTTTTTATCTAAAGAGGAGGAAAAAATATGAAGAGAAAGATGATTTTGATTTTGATAAATTACCTGGCATTCTGACGAGGTTTTCATTTGAAAAGATGATCAAAAGCACCGAAGGGTTCATTAAGAAGCTCGGAGAAGGTGGGTTTGGGATGGTTTTTGAAGGGAAATTGGGTGAAGATACAGTTGCGGTGAAACGTCTGGAAGGTGCTAGGCAAGGAAAGAAAGAATTTTTGGCTGAGGTTGAGACTATTGGCAGGATTGAACACATCAATCTAGTCAGGCTAATTGGCTTTTGCGCAGAGAAGTCTGAGAGGCTTCTGGTATATGAATATATGTCAAGAGGGTCACTTGATAGGTGGATCTATTATCGCCATAACAATGCCCCTCTTGATTGGTGCACACGGTGTAGGATCATTCTTGATATCGCTAAGGGCCTATGTTATCTTCATGAGGAGTGTAGGCAAAAAATTGCTCATTTGGATATCAAACCACAAAATATTCTCCTGGATGACAGCTTTAATGCCAAAGTTGCTGATTTTGGACTATGCAAGCTAATAGATAGGGATCAGAGCAAAGTAGTGACTATGATGAGAGGAACACCAGGATATTTGGCACCTGAATGGTTAACATCGAGGATCACTGAAAAAGTTGATGTCTACAGCTTTGGAGTTGTTATCATGGAAATAGTAAGTGGAAGGAAAAATATTGACACCTCTGAACCTGAGGAGAATGTTCAACTCATAAAATTACTACGAGAAAAGGCTACAAACAATCAAATGATTGATCTGGTTGACAAGCACAGTGATGATATGGTCTCACACCAGGATGAAGTTATTAAAATGATGAAGCTTGCAATATGGTGCCTGCAACATGACAGCATTCGAAGGCCTTCGATGTCAGTCGTGATCAAAGCGTTGGAAGGTGCGATTATCATAGAAACTTTTGATGCAAATTCAATAATGCATGTTCAAGATAATCCATCAACATATTCAGTTACATCTCAGACAACAATGCTATCTGGCCCAAGGTGAAATAGGTGGCTAACAGGCACAAAAAGTAAGGCATTCAGTTTGGCTTTTGTATCCTATCATATTTCTAATTTGGAAGTATGTTTGAAATGGCACCAAGAATTTTCCAACCAACTATATATATGCTTGATTGTTCAATGAAATTGTACTGCATGGTCTTTACCTTTATATAGCTGAAAATGAGCTAATTGTACGTGAACCATTTGGAACTCTCTATATTACGACACTTGTTTACTGAATGTAGTGTGCATCCCTTACAGGCATGAGGATAAACAGACACTCCCTTGACTTGAACAATGTATAAATCATAGATGTAATCAAGCAGTTGAGGCCATGGTTTTAAATAGCGCGCTATAGCACACTATAGTGTTTAGAAGAGGTCCTGCGCTAAGGGACTTTGATCCAAACACGTGAACAAACATTTTAAATATCGCGCTATAGCATTACTATAACATGATATAGCATTTAGAAGAGGTCCGCCACCAAGAAGCATAGACCGCTATTTGAAACTATGGTTGAGGCATCGCTCGACAATGACTGAATTTGTAATGGAAGACCGAAGGGCCAATTGGATTTGGGGATTTCGGCTCCAACGAAGAAAATTACAAAATGGTCCCTTATGGGGGTTCAAGTGCTTCAGATGTAACTAATTGATCCCAGATCGTGACATATGCTGACTTTTATGGAAATTGTTGGCTTGTTAAAACACTTAAAATACATGGTTAGATTGAACAGATGCAAGGAACGCTCACATCACATGACAAAACAGCACATTTGATTCTCCTCGTCCTATCTTTGGCGAAGGTGAATCTATGCCAACGACTACGGCCATCAGCATAGAGGATAATTCCGGTAGTGATGCTACAACATGCTATTTAAAATGTTTGTTCATGTGTTTGTATGAGACCTCTTGTAAACACTAGTGTGCTCACTGTGGCAGAGCTATTGGGCGCTATTGACTTGAATTACAAGTTTTTTTTGTTTATATGCAAAGATACAAAGTTTTTATAGATATGCTGCAGAAAACTGCAAATACATTGAAATACTTTTGCTATACCGGGTGAAGACGGCAGGATCCATCGCAGCACGTGCTCTGGAGTTTTCACGGGTTGGAGTCTTCTTCTATCGCGTATTATAATTCGACATGATGATGCATAATCTTCTTTTATGACAGAAATTATATAAAAAGTGCTGCAATACTTCAGTTTAGACGAAACAATTCACTGATACAGCACAAGTGCTGCAGATCAAACGTCCTTTGCAGGTTTCAGCTTCAGGGGTGAGACTGAGAAGTAAGAATATGTCATAGGTGGATATATCCAGACATTGATCAACACGTTAGGAGCTACGGAATACGACAAGCTCGCCTCAGAGCGAGGCATGGACAACTTGGCCTGGAATTTCCTCTCTAATCCTGGCTAGCTACTCATTCGATGATCAACTTACTGTGACATATCCATTACACCCCATCTATATCCGCCTTTAAAAAGGCTACTTTTTAGATTTCTGTGGTTTGAAGATGTTGCCCTTGTAGTATTTCAGTTCGGCGATGCTCTCTTTGATATCGTCCATCGCCCTGTGACTTTTTCCTTTCCTGGGAGTTTGCTTCCTTTCTGCAAATGATGATGACAAAGAAACACACGGTTAGATCTCAGCCACATCATGAAAGGTCTCAAGAGTTAAACTAATCCTACTGGTCGAGAATGTAAACATATGTTAGCACAAGACTAGTGGGTACACTCCAAAGCCAGTGGGTACCATAGATGCGACTTTTTTTTGTTCCGTATTTCCATACAAACTCTAAATGTACAACTATACTTGTGCTTGAATACAAGCCTTTGTTTGACTGCTGAAATTGTGTATATTGCTTATCCACGGCGATTGTTTTAATTATTTTAATCATCTTCAACAAAATCAGAATTTACTCATATCATTTCAAACAGATGTAGCAGTTGAGGGGCCATGATTGAAACAAGTGCAAATAGCAAATGGATCAATGGGATAGACAGGAACAAATTGACAACAAGCAAGCATAATAAAAAAAATCAGCCTTCTACAAATTTGGTTTACCTTTAGGGTACCACCGGGTGCACAAAGCCATGATACTGCTCACATCAACAATCACGTGAGAGAAGATGGCTGCAAGCCGTGGCATATACTTCTGCTTAGGAAAAAAATAGCAAATATATTATTTATTATCCACCAAAAGCTAAAGGAATACATCATGTTTAAACTGGATAAAAGATTTTCTCGCAAAGGAAAAATTAAACATATTGCATATGTAACAAGGAATAAACAAATTATTTTGCACGACGATAAATGCGGAGACATGGATATCAGTGTAGCAAACTATTATCGAGCACTGTCCCAAATAAGGCAGTTTGATCTAATACCATATAGTTCACAACTATATTTTTCCTATTGACTTAACGAGATGATCTATAACAAGACGAATAAATAACACAAGAAAATCAACTAAATTTATTTTCTGAATTGAATTAGACCATTATCGAAGCAATTTTGAATGAGCCTTTTACACCCTGAGGGCAAGGAGCCTCCCCGCATTTGGGAAAACCAAACCAAATTACTTGGATTTTCAAATTTTGAAATGAGAATATTGACCAAACAATCCTGAGATTGCCGACTTTTTTTACTTCAGTCAAACAAAAAGCACAAGCTTGAATTCAAAAAAATAGGATGGAAATTCTAGTTGACAAGAAATATAACTCAGTATCGACAGTTATTCTTTTTACTGAAACTGTTAATCCTGCTGGAGGATAAAAAAAATGTAACAGTGGCCAGTCTTGCATTCATGGAAAACAAATGTCTTTCCATAGTCCTAGCTGCACGACTATTCCTGTCTGTGTGACAGTATATCAATCCTAATTACAGCATATCAATCCTAAAAGACATTCTTTACTGACCTTTAAAAATAGTAAATCTACATAAACTGAATTCCCAGCTATTGATGGAGTGTCTGAACCTACATGCTTCATGAGGAAGTCTAACACCTGCAAATAGGTCAACAGAAACTTCTATTAGAAACCTTTGGCTATTTTATTTTTGTAGCAAGGCATCAATATGTACTGTTTTACAGTGCATAAATGATTAAAAACTGTATGACATATCATTCTTAGATGTGCAAGGAACTGCTGTATCAAGTGGTAAAGCAGAAGCCTTATTCAGAGAAACTTAAGAGCTTGAGATGTGAATACAACAATAACATTCACGGATATACTGATATAGATCATGCTGTAACATGTACACTTGCAAAACTTGGTGTAGCTTGAACAGTGATTAGTATGCTATTCAGACTATACCAATTAGTTTGTTACTTTTCCGTTGCACAGGATGTATTTGGTCATATTTTTGCAAGAAACCTTGCAAGCATACAAGTTACAGCATGATATCCATCTAAAACATATAAATTTTTTGCAAAATTTTGGAGTGGAAAAATACATTTTGAATAAAGTTGAGTTTTTGCAACATATGCAATTTTTTTGCTAAAAGGGGAGGTTTGGGATAGCAGGATTTGTATGTTAGATATACGTATGTGACATCTCAGAAGTAACAACTGCAGTGTTACAAAATTGAAAGGTACAACAAGTTCACAATTTGGGGGCATCCACTGGTAATTTCCTAAATAAGAAATAGAATGGCAATTGGCAATTCAACATTTTACAGAAAAATATTTAAAATCAAATGTAGCGTACAAGCGTTCAAAAAAAGGGCAGCCCGGTGCATGTAGCTCCTGCTTGCGCAGGGTCCGGGGAAGGGTCCGACCACTTTAGGTCTATAATACACAGGCTTTCCCTGCATTTCTGCAAGAGGCTGTTTCCAAGACTCAAACCCGTACCTCATGGTCACAAGGCAATAGCTTTACCGCTGCGCCAATGTAGCAGACGCGTTAATCGGAAATATATTTTTTGTATATTAATAAATATGAAAGAAAACAATCTATAATGATCAACTCAAATCATGTCAGAACTGTCGATTCTCATGATAATGCCATGGTGTAAGAAGGCAAGTATGTAATGAGCTAAAAGAGCACATGAAAATGAAGTTCCAAACTGTAGAACTTGTGAATAGCAAATAGCACTCAAAGAGAGTTCTAAAGTAGCAAGAGGTTAAAGTGCAACAGATAGATAAATGAATAAGGTTATGGAATCAGTTGTGAATACTGTAACTTCACTACCATGTTTGCAATCAAATTTTCAGAAAAATGTGATGATAACCATAAGAATCAGACAACATACTTGTTTCTCCGCGTCACCCTCAGAAATCTCACTCTGCAGTACCCTCTCTGTCAATCCTAAATAAGTTCAGGGGTCATCAGATTTATATTCAGAGAACAACACCCAATAAGAAATGTTATTTGGAAAATAAAGATTATTTACCACTAGATGCATGATGAGTTTTACACCATTCATTCATATTATCTAAGCAAGCTTTGCTCTGACTTATAACCAAGTTAGGACCCTGCAAAATGACAACGATGTTGAACTTCCCGATGAGATGATGACAGACAAGTTATTCTACACTGCGATGAAGCACTATTTGCGCTTATTGACATGACAAATAGAGAACCAGTGTACTGATTTTGACTTTAAATATTTGTGCTATCACAAATATTATATTGCAAATGGATCATCAGCACTCCATTTGCCATTAAATACTTCTTATATTCAGGTCTGAGCAAAGGGTGGGTTTGGATTTGTATTGTGGAACAGAGGGAGTACTGTCTAGATTGGCCAGATAAGAATTTTTTTTTCCAAACTGCAGTTTATGTAACACAGCTGCTAGGAACAGAATTAGTAAAAAATTAATCTACAGAAAACCAGAGTAATTCACGGGCGTTCTCGAATATTCGTGTAAACAGAACTAGTTACAAGAACACTATGATATTGTACACGATCTATGTAGAACAAACTAAAGGTATATGATTTCAACAGCCACCTCTATTTGTTTTGTAAGTTTACCATCTGTTACAATGCAAGCTATCTCCAATATCCGATCTTTCGAAATATCCAAACCTACACAATCCAGTATGAGTGTGCCAGTTAGTCATAATTTTATGCATAAGATAAAGGTAACAAAAAAAGAAATAAATTCCAAAACTAAATTTGATTTATCTATCCATTGAAAAAATCTTTCGAAGTTATAGAAATTGAATAAATTCACAGCAGTAGCAACTATCATCAGATCAGAGATCAATGTATTTAGCAATCATAATCAAACTTCCAGGATAAGAAATACCCTTCGATGTTTCAGACCAATGCAACAAGTTGTTCGAGGCATTGGAGACAAATAATCTGTGGTTTTTAATTTTGTTCAGTTGAATCCCAGATTATAGTTTGGTTAACTAAAGTCGTGTATCAGTAATTTGAAATATGTTTGTTTCAACATGAGCCAGCTAGTTCGACCATTGACTACAAATTAAACCAGATGTCATCCATTTTTAGCCACTAGAAGAAAGTACAGAACCTTTCCCAAAATAAAAGAATGAGAAGCTAAGAACTAGCTATGCTAGCCAATGGATTGCATCCGAGTAAAGATAATCTACCAGAATACACTGATGTATTTCAGAAGGCCTCCAGAACTACTTTATGCCTTCATACCCTTCCATTTTCAGTATTATGATTCGAACTTAACTTCCTACTGGGCTACTGGCTACCACACATTTCCCCTCATTAGCAGGTTACAAATAATTGGGGCTGTGATTTGTAAGTGGCCATGTCACAAATTTACATCATCAGCACTCTGAACTATTGTTTCATAGGTGCAAATTTTTAATAGTCACAAACATACAAAAGTATGAGCAGAAAATTAATTATTCAGAGGCAGAATAAAACAACACAAATTGTTACGAATAAACAGGTAAATGAAGGTGCAACATCAAAAATAAATTCTCCTATGTATTAATAACATAAAACAAGTTGTGGTAACTGAATAATTCACCAGTCATTTCCAGGTCTATCCACACTAACGGCATCCTGTAACCACCTGATGATGATGCAAGAGCTGCTCCATTATTGCTTACAACAGTTGTGTCATTTTGCACACCTTTATCTGCATAGTAAATGCAGTTTACAACCCCATTAGTGACTACGGCGAGTAGGAACAGAAATATTATAGAACATAAACATGTATATCCCTATCTCCATCAAAGGGTTTTTCAAGTAGTCATATGTACCTTGAAGACAAAATCTAAAGAAAGGGGCTGCCCATATCAGACAGATTGAAAATGTGATCAGTATGCTGGTGAATACGCTTGAGCAAAAATGTCACACTACAATCTAGTTAAAACTATTTTCAGAGAACTGTAGGGGAAGCGCCAAGAATGAACGGAGGCAAAATTGATACACTGCACTGAACAGTGGCGGTATGACCTCTTGCAGCAATGGCAACTCTCCCCGAGTCCCCGGTCATGATGGTAGTTACCTAATTCGTTCCAATTAAGTTTCAGAGCCAACTGCTGCTCCGGACTCAATGAGCAGCAGGCAGCAGCTGGGATTTTAATCATGCTATGCCTTTACCCATGGCAACGGAATACCCAGGCACGACGCATCCAGCAGTGGCATAACCAGGTGTGGTCATGGCCCAAAGATTATCGTTCACATTTGCAAATGTTGCAGATGCACACTTAAATGATGGGATGGATATTATATCATCAAACCACCCGACAAGCTTTTAGAAAATGAGCCACCATCCAAAATGTGACATGACGGCCCAAGCAACCATGGATAGATTACACAACAGAAATACAATACATCTCATCTTTTCAGAATAACCACTCCAGGAAATTAAACAGTGAATGGCCATAAAACAGAACGTCAATTGAGCCCAGGGAGGTATTATCACATCATAAGGCCGTTATGTTCTTGGCAACAGTAGTAAGCATTAATCTGTTCAATACGGGTAAAAACGGGCCAGTGAATCAAGGTAAACTACAAAGGAAGTAGCTGCTTCAACTGAAAATTGCAGGGATAATAATGAGTTACGCAATCGGTTCCCCATGCAAAAAAGGGGGGGAACAATAATCCATCTAGTGTGATCCAATACTCTGGAAGCTACATCCGAGAAGAAATGGAATACCAACCAGGTTTGCTCGCAGCAGTTTGTTCAACGCCGGTAGAAGACGTTTGGGTCACTTCCCTATCATTCCCTGCATCATCTTCGCCATCCAGATTAAGAAGCGAGAACATGTTCTCAGGCTTGCTCATTTCCCAATTTCCTTCTTCCTGGTACAATCCAAGCACCTGTTCCTGCATCAGCCAAGCACCCAAGTCCTCAATTAAAATGAGCCTTTGTATAGCAAAAAAACATTTACAGGGACGGTAACATAATCCAACCAAGCAGAGCTAGTGTGCACCGAACGAAAAGGTTAACAGGATCGATGAAAGAGAAAGCTGATCATCTGCACCATTGGTTGTCCCTCTTTGCACTATCATGTTTACTTCCCTGGTTTAATCATTTGCCTTTTCTAATTATAGTACACATTTCCCTTTCCTTTTTCCTAATATCTCTGTCGCCTACACTCTGTTTCTCTACACCTTAAGAGTCGATCGCTCTTACTGCTAGACCTAGTTTTGACCCAAGCCAGAGAGAACCGACCTCGATGTCTGTTTACCCCCTATCCCCCAATCGAAGGAACGAACCTTGTGCGCGGGTGCCGATGGAGGTCGGCCGGAGGAGGAGAGCGGGCGAAGGTGCCGCGGGCTGCCGCGGCTGGGGCAGGAGGAGATGCCGGTGGAGGCTGCCCGGAGGGGGGGCGGACGAGCCGCGGGCTGCTGCAGCTGGGGCACGAGGAGACGCGCGCCGGCCGGAGGGAACGCCGGTGGAGGTTGGCCGGGGGAGGAGGAGGAGGACCGGGGCGTCGAGCTCGGGCAGAGGAGCGCGAGGGCTGCCCGGTCGGCGCCTGCGAAGCCGAGGCGGCGGCGGCGGCGGTAGGGGAGAGGATCGGAGAAGGGGATGGGACTTGAAGCAAGAGGGGTCGGCCGAGCGAAACTTTTTCTTTTCTTTCTTTTAGCAAAAAAATTACTTCTTTTTCACACGTTTTGAGTAAAACAGGTTTTCACACGTTTTGGAATCCTTCAATTTAAATTCCAATCCTGTAAATCAAATGACGCATGTAGGATAAAAAAATCCTCTAAAAATTCCATGGAGCCCCTTTGAGAATCTCTACTTTTCTTGTAGTACAAATGGGCAGGTCCAACTAGGTTTATAAGAAAAAATGTCAACAATTCATCACGATCGTGCAGCAGCCACTAGAGACGGTGATGTGTGTCGGTGGAAAAGGTTGGGTTTTAAAGAGTTTCTCTTTGTTGGCGGCTGACACGCCCCACTAGTGCACTGGTAACTTGCCAAAAGACCAATGATGTTTTGCGAGACGGTGAGCATCACTGGTAATCCATTATTAGTGGTGTGCGTTGCGCCTCGCACATTATAAATATGACACAGATTGTATGCAGTGATCATTCAGTTGCGCACGTCACTAGCACACCATTGGCAAGGCTCGACCCAAAGAAGAATCTAGAGTGGCGCCCTGCCCAATAAACTCTCTCGTTCCTTCTCCTCCCTTCTCTACTGTTCGAGAGAGGCGATACAGAGGGCGTCGAGGGCCCGACCCAATCCCGGTCCTTTGCCGCTGGCTATGCCGGTTGGAAAGGAGACGGGGGAGGTGCTCGGTGCTCTGTTGTAGATAGTACTTCTAGATATAAGTTTTCCTTAGGGGATTTGGGCTTTATGCCAACGACTGGCACTATGCTGATGAGGAGATCGTCGTCGTCGCAGGCGAGCAGCGGTTGGTGGCGATCGGTGGCGGTGATTCTGGTGGTAGCTGATGGTCAGTTGTTGCTCTGGTATCTGCCTGCAGTGACTTCTTTAATAAGTTCCAGGATTGTCATGTTCCTTTAGAAAAAAAGAACGAAAAGAAAAATATTTTTTAAACGAAATGACATGTTCTTGATCGGCTTGTTTTTTTGTTGTTGAAGTCATTGTGGCGGTGGATCTCCGGCGAGGAGGAAGTGGTGGATTGGGACTCTCAGATCGAGGTCGAGCTCATCAGCGGTGGTCAACACGGTGGGAGCTACGACGCCTGCACCCGCAGATGGCAGTAGGCCGCCTCCTTGCTCCTGCATCTTCGGGCCAAAGGGCGGCCAACCGTTTTCCTCTCGGCCAAGATGTCGAAAGGAAGGCAGTTCAACATCCGATCGTTGGAATAGCTGCTTGTTATGCAAGCCTCGTCGCCCCAAAGTGGCTTCGTCCGTCCCCGGCGACGATGAGGTGGAGGCTGAGCAGAAGTTGATGACCCGATCACGTTTCTTCATCCTAGTTCGAGGTCCTTTCCGCAGAGTCCAGGGACATGTGTGTAATTCCAAGTTTCTTGTGTGCCTGGCTGTAATATGTGCTATGTTCACTGTTTATGAATAAATTTTGGGATCCTTGTGGATCCCTTTTCGTGTTAAAAAGAACTAAAGGCACCCCTCTTATTCATGAAGGATCATCACCATTAAACCAATAAGAAACGGCTTCGGTACATCCCCTCACAAAACGTATAAAGGGCAATACGGACCTTTCACACAATATACTCACTTTTGCATGTGTACGTTGTACGAAGACCCCTTTGTACGAGCGAAATGTACTCGTTGCAAAGATCACTCCAACTCCCCTGGTTGCGACAAGTGGTGCACATGCAGCGCGTCACTTGTCGCAACCTGAGAGTTTTCCCTTTATTCGTAGATCCGTTTATTCAAAACGTTTTATCTCTCAAACTGTGCGTCCAAATCTTAAACCGCTTTCACGTTGGATTCCTCGTGTTGAGATCTTCAAAACTAGATCCCATGTTGATAGCTTTTGATGAATAATTTTTTTCCATGAAAAAACCGGCCGAAAAAACAAACCGGGAGCAAGGATTTTTTTCCCTTTCCGAAAGAGACACGCCTGTGCCTCTCATGAAATCACAACCGTGCCTCTCACAGAAGCAAAATCGTGACTCTCGCGGAAGAAAAAAAAGAAGAGAAAACGCGTTTTTTCGTTTCCGAGGAGGCACGACTGTGACTCGCGAAAGCACACTCGTGCCTCTCGCGGAAGCAAAACCGTGACTCTCGCGAAAGAAAAAAGACAGAAAACGTGTTTTTTCCCGTTTCTGAGAGGCACGGCCGTGACTCTCGCGAAAGCACAACCGTGCCTCTCGCGGAAGCAAAACCGTGGCTCTCGCGAAAGGAAAAAACAAAAAATGCGTTTTTATTTCGTTTCTGAGAGGCACGGCCGTGACTCTCGCGAAAGCACAACCGTGTCTTTCGTGGAAGCAAAACCGTGACTCCCGCGAAATGAAAAAAAATAGAAAACGCATTTTTTTCGTTTTCGAGAGGCACGGCCGTGACTCTTACGAAAGCAAAACCGTGCCTCTCGCGGAAGGAAAACCGTGACTCTCGTGAAAGAAAAAAATATGTTTTTTCGCGCAAAAAGAAAATTTCGAAAAAAAAATTTGGTCAAAAAACTAAAGAAGACCGGTGAAAAATCAAAACATCGAAAAAAAACCAAAAAAACTGTTTAAATAGCGGAAAACGCGTGCGAAAAAATAAAATTAAAAAATCCAGAGGAAGCGCCCAGAGCGCGATACGTGGCGAATGGCTGAGAGTGCGCGAACTGGCGCTGATCGTCGCGAGGCTCGTGAAAAAGCGCTCGTTAACTAGTGGTTCGCGAGGCTTTCTGTGTCTGTTCTCCCGCTCTTGGGCCGGCCTTTTAAGTCAGGTCCGTCACTTCTCACGCACCTAGGCTGGTCAGTTTTTTGTAGAAAAAATATATTCGGAAAAAGGGTTTCTCTAGTCTCCATCTCTAGTAGTCTCTAAGAATTGAACTTGATCTCAGGTTATTGGCGAAGGCTGCTTGCCACACGAACAAGTCACGCCTAGTGATTTTGTGCAGCACGAATTATATAAGGACCACACTACAGCGCTCATATGTAAAACAATTTGGAAAAAAAATCGAAACTTTTCTTGAAAAAAACGTGAACAATTTGCTCATGCCGAATATTTTTCATAAATAGCAAATAATTTATGAATATTAAATGGTTTTTTATTTTTCCAAGATTTTTCTGGAAATGTGAGCAATTTTTTAAATGCAAATAAGTTTATTGGCGAAGGCTGCTTACCACACGAATAAGTCACAGCTTGTGATTTTGTACAGCACGAATTATATAAGGACCACACTACAGCACTCATATGTAAAACAATTTCTGAAAAAAAATCGAAACTTCTCTTGAAAAAACGTGAACGATTTACACCATGGGCACGCCCACCTGCTTGAAGTTAGCATCATTTTTAATAGTGTCCAAAACTAGACCATGTTCAACGGAGGATGTCCGGGTAGGCCAGAAGGCTTCGTTTGAGAGCACATTGTTTTTGACATTCTTGAACTGGCTCCATTTTTTCATAGCCTTATATTAAAAATTCAAGGCATCATCCAAAGTTATTTGGGTTTTCGACTAGCTTTGCATTTTCTAGAGTTTTCTCAGTGAAAAAAGCCCGATAAATGGTCGAACGTGACACAAGTTGCATAATGTATCAGAATTCATTTAAACCTGACATGGATGCCTACCATGGACATGCCCACTTGCTCAAAAAAGTTGAGGTTATTTCTTGCATGTCTAAAAATAGATCATGTGCAATGGAGGGGTGTTCAGTTAGGCATGAAGGGTCTCTTTGAGCGCGCGTCATTTTGGCATCCTTTCGGTAACCCAAAGTTTTCTCATGAGCTTATATGATCAATTAAAGGCACCGTGCCAAGTTGTTTTCATTTTTCGACAAATCTTGCATTTTCTGAAGTTTTCTAGGTGAAAAATGACCGCTAAACGGTTGGACGTGACGCTACTGTGTTGGAATTAGTTCAAATCTGACATGGATGCCTACCACGGGCATGCTCACCTATTGGCAAAAGTTGGGATCATTTCATGCATGTCCGAAAATAAATCATGGTTAGGATTTTTTTATTGATTTTGAAAAATAAAGTTCGCAAATTTCAAAAAAAATATATGGAATTTTAAACTAAGTTCATGAATTCGAAAAAAATTCATGAGTTTTGATAAAAAAACGTAAAAGTTGAAAAGAGTTCGTGGATTGAAAAAATCATGCATTTGCAAAAAGGTTCACGCATTCGGAAAGAGTTCATGGATTTTTAAAGAAGTTCACAAATTTAGGAAAGTGTTCATGACTTTGAAAGT